GATTGTGATGATAATAAACAAACGGTGTATCCCTCAACCAATTTTCAGCTTGACAGCTCAGCCCAAATAACGAAAGTCTTTCACTAAGTGGGCTACAGGTTTAGCCCACTCCGGTGGCAGAAAAGTCATCCACCAACATTTTTCTAGATGCCAAAGTTGTTGGTCCTTTGGCTTGATTATCTGCCAATCTAAGACAGCAGATACAAACATGACCCGTACAGAAGGCCGAATAACAAAAGGCCGAAAATATTCTAAGGTACCACAAAAGCAGCGGCGTTTCCTTAACCTCAATCTACCTGTGCACCAACTCTCAAAACATAAACAATTATCAAAATATTGCTTGCAATGGATAGATATTAAGTAAACTAGAAGATTAAATGTATTTTTCAACCGATTCGAGTATGAATATGGCATTAAATCTGGTATTGAAAGTTGGTGCACAGGTAAAAAGTGAGGTTACGCGACGCCACTGCACAAAAGGCCGAAAGCCAGAAAGGCGAAAATCAAGAAAGGCTGAAAATTCATCAAAAACCGAATTTGTTGAAAACCGCATCCAAACAATATGTTAGCCTTTCTGCTCGCACAACTGACTCGGCTCTTTAAATGGTTTTCATTCACAAAAAAAAATGAAGCCAAGATGAAATTAGATATAGGGGTGTTCTCACTTGCCGACTTTTTGGGAAAAACCAGTAAGTGGTAAGCTGTGGGTAAGAGAAGGGTAAGGAAACGAGAGAATGGTTTATTTACGCATACACAACATTCTGATTGGCTAGCGAGTTGCGCAAGCAGTTGAATGTGTGTAACTAGAACGTTCTGCAAAACGGATCAAGAGCAATATCGCTGCTAATGACGATTTTAGATTTGAGAATACCTCCCATATTGAATTTCATCTTGAACGCAGCCATCATCATCATATCAGAGGCGTCGCGTGCCTCATTTGTTTACCTGTGGACCAAACTTTGTTCGTTATAGCTTACCACCACATATGAGTTTTTGATTTATTTTTCAATGCTCCATGAATTCGAGGGACATATTCTCAATTACTATATTAATCACTACCTAACGTAACATTTGAAGTGCCTATCATGTTGTGTAAACAAAACTTGTATGGCCCTTTTCGCGCTAACCGAAGTAGGAGGATTTGCAAAAGTTAACTAATTCTCGTTTTTATCACAAGGCTAACTCTTTCGACTGAAGTGTGATGAAGAATATCCGTCAAGCACTTCCGAAAACATTTTTTGATACAAAACAGTGTCAAAATCTAGAGCAAATTCATGAAGTCCCCTGGGTAGCAAACTTGAATTCAAGAACCACATGTGAAAAGGACATACAAGCTTTTTGTAAACAAACCTTTGTAGGCCATTTTCTCGCCAACCGAGGGTTGCCCACGCAAACCAGCAATATCATCGGGAAAGGGAAAGTTTGCGTTGGTGTCATACGGGTGGCGAGAAAAGGGCATAAGAAGGTTTTGTTTACAAAAAGCTTGTATGCCCTTTTCACATGTTGTTCTTGAATTAATCAACACTTTATTGATCAGAACAACACTATCAGAATGAACCAGGGAAAACTCAAGTTTTGACAGGCGCACCGGCGCAACCATCGGTAATTGAGAGATTTACAACTGACAAGAGAGTTAGAGCGAGCTTTTGTGCTCTCTTTCTCCATTACTCTCTTTGCCTCCAATCAGATATCCAAGTGCACAGCGAGAAATGCACCAAATTCATCAAATCGGTCTGCAAGTATCATACACGTCCAAAGCGTACCAGACTGCTGTTTCCGCGTTGCTCCCGTTTGACTGAAAGTTTCAATTACAACTAGTGGCGCAAACCGCCATGTACTGTAGAAAATTTGTGGTATGTTTCAAGAGATGGCTTACATCAGGCATTGACCATTCACAAACTTGCCACCTGCCACCCAAAAAAGCTCGCTTTAAGGTGCACTATTTAACGAGTTTGTCATGGTAGTGATGTCGACATGCTTAGAAATCAATGCACTAGGGATTAGGCAGACCGAACTGAACTTAATCCTTTTTGAAGCAAACCAAGGTCGAAGATTTAATTGAGCTAAAAAAGATTAATTTAATAAATTTAATAATTCATGGTCACTTGTGGTCTGGAGTAAAGAAGTACAGCTATAATGTGACCATAAAATCTATAAAAATCTAAACGCATTTTTTAATTATTTACACCTGTGTCGTGCACAGGTTGCACATGTGGACGCGACGCCACTGTCGTCATTGAATACTCAAACATCTGGAAAAATAAAGCTTACTATCAGTTTCTCTCTCATTCGGCATTTGAAGCCTTTCTGCTCTTACAACGGAGTCACTTCGTGGAATTGTCCGCATTCACAAAAAACGTAGCCATCTTGTCATTAAATCGTTGTTAAACACTTAAACAAACATAAAACTAAAGCTACCCAAATCTTAAGTTTTTTTTAAATTTTCGTTACGTAAAACGAATGGCTATCCAGCATTTTACGAGCGCTTATGGCCGCCACAATCTGGCTGAGTTTTTGGTAGGGAACATATGATTTGACATTTGGGTTGTGTCGTTTGACGTGTAAACGTTCAAATTTGATCGTTTACACGTCAAACGACACAACCCAAACTTCTAATCTTACTGGATTGAGTAGCTTCCATGATATTTTATTTCGAAGATGCAGAATAATAATTATTGTAACTTTACTTTAATAATGTAATTTAATTTATTAAAAACAAATTAACAAAAGCCCGAATCGGGAAAGCGATTTTTTCGCTTTCCCGAGGTTTTTTCGGCTTTTTGTGGTTTCGGCCTTTCGTAGTTCGGCCTTCTCTGTATTTCGGACTTTTGTGTTTTCGGCCTTTCGTAGTACTCCCGTACATAAATAGTTTTTTTTTCTCTGTTCGGGACATAAAACTACTGCGACCAGTAATTAGATCTATTGTAGTATATCCCGTGTACATGTCGTATTATTGAGAAATGATGAAGTGTTCGGTTTTGATACAGTTGTCATTCTTGCCTTCATCGCAAGGAATCGATTCTAATTGAAAGGTCCCGATATTTATACCCTTCGGAGTGTTGGAACACCCTCCAAAGGCGAGACCCTTTGTCAGTCAAAATTAGATTCCTTAGCAACAAAATTTAGGAATGACACCGATAATGACCATGCATCAGAACCCTAGTCTTAACCACTTCAAACTAGGGAACAACGAATAGAAGATTAGGAATCACATAGATGAAGACTAACTAACTAATTTTTTCCTTGTTTCAAGATCATCCTCGGTCCAGGCAACCCGAGGACTTATCACTATCAACAAGACATAAAAAGTAACAAGGACTAAGATGTGTTCCTTTGATTACTGAAAAATCCTGTTCCCCTAGTTTAAAGTAGTCAAGACTAGGAATCGATGGTAGATCTTACATCCCGTAACGTACCACGAAACGGTGATCTACCCACGTTACGGGGACATACATAGTTTAGATTATAATCCATACCGAACGTATTACTCACAGGCATCAAAATTCGTGAAATACTTAAACAAAGATCTGTCATAAGTCAACAAAGTCAAAGGTAAATGATCCGAACGAATTTTATAGCACAGATTCCATCCTCATACGCGAGAGGCTTGTGTATTTGCTTAGTTTTCTACACTCTGAAAAATCGTCACGTCCGCTTTACGTGAAAACTTAGGTGATTTTCGTCCACCCTATTTTTCACGTAACTTTTACCGGAATTCCACGTAGCCGATCAAAACTCAGCATCTTTTATCTACGTAATTATTCAGGTAAATAAGACCTGATTTCCACGTACTGCTTGCGTGAAATCGGGGTGAATACTACTGGAAAACTGGTAACTTTTACGTGATATTCCGTTTCGTTTGAAATGATATTCACGTAATTTTTACGTGAATTTTGAATAAGAATAATAGAACTTATATGTAGAAGCAGTCAATATTATGCAATTTCATCGGGCAGACAAATTGCACGTGTTTAAATTGATACCCATAAAATTGCAAATTATTAACTACTCGGTAGGTAGAAATGTTTATGAGATATTTTATTTCCGTCAAAATATTAATAACTGTTTGCAGACTCAAAACGGTGATGCCACCGTCTGAAATTATAAAACTAGAAAAAGGCTACATATAATCATAAATAAATTAATTTAAATGAATCAAATTACCGTCCAATATGTGTAGCAAGCTGCTGGGAATTTTTGAGGTTTTCTTCCACCACGCTTGGTGACGCCATATTGACTTTTTTGCGTACCTGAAAATCACGTAAATCTCGCTTCGCGAAAATATCGAAGTCCCAAACACAAATATACTAAATCTGTTTACGTGAATAACCGGTCGATTTCGCCAACATTTTTAGTGGGCATGACGTGTAATGCAGGTCAAAGTTACTAACGTCACGTAGCGTTTGCGATTTTCTATATACAGATCAGTTACGTGATATTTTACGTAAATCGGACGTGAGGATTTTTTAGAGTGTATGCATTGCTTCCCCCTTCACTCAAACGCAACGCTACTGTATCAATCGTTTGGTTTCTGGCAAATATGCCAGTCTTCTTGATATGATGTCTTCGGTAAAAGTGACTTACTTACTGAGTTAGTCTCAACACACCCGTGTACCGGCTGATAGATGCTTCTCGAGGCTGAGATAGCAACTTCTTACTACTTACTGTATTTTCACTTGTCATATTAGCAATTCCATCAATTGTCAGAATTAATCTGTCCTTGTTTCTCTTCGTCCAATATCGACAGCGTCCTTATAGTGTTTGTATCATTGTCTCACAACAACGCTTTCATCGCCAATTTCAAATTTATCATCCACTCGCAATTGGTCCCTACTGTCACTCACTGTCGGAGTTCAGCCAAAATTATGTTCTGCCTTTTCTATTTTCATAGGCACCTCGCGCTTAGTTTTTGTCTTGTTTGTTTTTCATTCAGATTTTATTTTGTTTTCCTTCTTTTTCGCTTTATTTTTATGTTGCTTTCTTCGTTTGGGAAAATCCAGCCGTACACCCACAGGATAACCACTTCCACCACCGTTTCCCGGACTAGACTACTGAAAAAGAGAGCGAGCGCGGGAGTGAGACAGCGGGAACACGCAGGCAGCGGAGGATATTTCCAGTTTTTCGTTTTATCCACTGCAACCATACACCACCCCACAAATCACCACCCATCCACCCACAACAAAGAGCAGACCCGGGTTTTGCCCCGATTGTTTCTTCATTTTCGACCTAACTCAATATTACACCCTACCAAAGCCTCCAACGACAGCAATACTGTATACGTGGAACTGATCACAGAAACGTGTTGTTATTCATGAATTTTATAGATATTCAATCATGGTGGGAGGTGCCCTGCATTGCACACTTCTGTTCGTTGTTTAGTAGCGCCTTTCAGTTGCCGGATTTCGATATCGAGGTGAGTTTTTGCTTTTTGCTGGTCCTTTAAGGGCGAATAAGTCCACACTGACGAATTTCACTTTGTCACCCTCTGCCTGGGACAGGATCTAGAAGAAGCGCTTCTGACCAATGCCGACACCGAGAGCGAAGTCGATCTAAAAGTGTACAGCACCCGTCTGCTGCCTGATCTCATTGTTGCGCTGCTCAAGGGTTGCGACGCACTCAGTCAGATCGTATCGCACATTAGTCCGAGCAACTATCAGATGTTCCTGAGGCGTCTCTTTCGTCAGAAATGTCAGGTAGGTCCTACGATACGCACGCTCCCAGGGGCAGTATTAATGCGACGTTACGTTTTGCTTACAGGAATATAACATCGACAACCCATTCAACGAGGATACTGATTTTGAAAAGCTACCGCTACGCACCAAAATCCTCATTTTGAAGTACCTGTGTGACTTTCGCCTAGACTCAGCTGACGTTTTCAATAGTTTTGCAAATCTCGAAGCAGACAGCTTGCGAGTGGAACCACTGGGGTAAGTGTCCATTTATATTGGAAAATCAATCGCAGTCTTGATGATATTTTTCTTTCCATCACCAGCTTCGACAGTAAAGGATCTGCCTATTGGTACTTTTTCGGCACTCGCCTGTACCGAGAGGATTACGAAGTTTCAACTGGCAAAGGCAACAAATCGTCAAACAAGCGTTCGGTTTGGCAAGTCATTTGCTTCACCGAGGAAGATTGGAGGAATCTAGCGGGCAAATTCAAGCGTTCCAAAAACGAAAGCGACCGTGCATTGCTAGAGCAGTTAGAGGAAAACTTCCTACCTAATATTCCGAAAATCTTCCGCGACAAAGAGCGCGAACGAAGGAACAAGTAGGCACGATTTTCGCTGGATCATGGCTCATTGAATAATAATGTTTCTACTCTTTTTCCGCCCCCTGATTGCAGGCTTCTGGAACGACGCACTTCCTCGCGCATCAAGACCTTCGAAGAACGCCGTCTAGCTGACATCTATCGTCAAAAGGAGATCGAAGAGGCACAGAAAGCTCTACTCAAAGAACACCGCAAGCTTGCGGGAAAGTCTGAACCCCAGCTGGAGGACAACCGTTCCCAAAGAGTAAAGCTAGCCGAAGACAGAGCTAGACGCGCCGAACGACGGTTAGAAACCAGAGATATTAAGCCATTCTAAAGCCAAGCAAATCAAACCAAAAACGCGACAGAAGAGCAAAACGACACCAAAAAAAATAACATCTACAACATCAACCAATCAATCACTCGAACAACATTGATCTCTCGCTCGGCGCTATTTCTCAAATAGCGTGCCAAACAGAATGCAAAATTTTACCTTCAAAAGTCTAGTTTATATGAGAGCTATGATCCCGTGATTGACTAGATGTTATTTTGTTTCTTCTTCTATCGTTAGTTGCTGTATGTATGCATGATGTTAAAATCATCATTTCATTATTATTTGTTTCTTTTAGTTAAGTGATCAAATTTCTCAAACTTTTCTGTTCTCGACCATTCATTTAATTATCATTTTCGCTTATTCTTGATACATTCAAAATATTGATTAATCTTCTCAGAGTCTCAATGTGCTAATGCCGGCTTTTTCTCATTTCCCACCCATTTTTGTTTACAACCATTTTAGGTCGCGTTCGAACTCGGTCTCAAGTATAGTATCAACCTATGCCAGCTCACCAGAACCTCTCACGAGTGATTTTATTTTTCAGCCAAAAGAAAGCGAAAACCTAGCTTATAGCAAACATTCTTCTAGCGGTGCCAAGCACACCGCGACCGTTGTTGTTAGTAATCCACCAGCTTCCCCTTCCTCCGAGTTAGGTTCCGAACCGACAACAAGTGCGGACATTGCAGTGTACTCTGGTGGTTCCAAGCAGAACCCCGAGGAAGTGTTTGAAGAAGATAACGAAAACAGTGAAAACGACGACGACGACGAAGAAGAAGAGGACAGTGCTAGTTTGATCGTCGTTGACCAAGTGAACAATAACTTTACCGAAGTTGGTTCGAGTGTCAGTGTTGCCAGTGGTACGACTACGACGAGCAGTGGCATCAGTAGTCGCGAGCAGCGTGAGAAGACACCTTCGGCTTCTCCAACACCGCCACCAGTAGAAGCTCCCTCGCACCCGGAGCCAGCGAAGAGAAGATCCAAGTTAAGTGCTGAAATCGAGGCACTGCTGCAGTACAATCGGAACATGGCCCCCACGACGACCAAGTTGCCCGGTCGGCAGACTAATAATTCGCTATCATCAGTCACGGGACCGGTGATACTGCCGTTCGCCGACACGCCGCCCCCACCCAAAACATCGGGCAGTAAGAGTGCTGAATCAACTACCGTTGCTGTCGGCAGCGGCGGTGGCGGTGGCGGTGCCGTTGGCACCGCAACCGCCACCGGTGGACGGAAGAAGAAAAGCAAGGCCTCGGAAGTGTGAGTTTTTCATGGATTTGTGTTTTTTCTAGCTATCATTCATTGGTTGTGTGAAATGTGTGGCTTTTATTATCTAACATTGCTTAACCATACTTAGGATTTGCTTTTGTATTTATGTAGGTATATTTATTACATTTTCTGCACTTTGAACATATAATATATTGGAACCTTATTTGCTGAAACGTTTGATTCGATGAAAGAAATGTTGAATGGTTATTCTCTAAATATTCTGGTGCTGGTAGAAGCTTATAATAAAGGACCGGTTAGTTAGTTTTTAATTTAGTTTCACCTAGTTTAACGTTATTAATTTGCAATGTAGAGTAGCAAGTGTGGGACTTCTGTCTGTACATCAATTTCATTTTCCATCCAAGTTTCTTGTCTTCATTGTTGAGTCTTGGCATTATAATTAATTCTGCAAGGACAAGAAGTTACTGTAACAAGTCCCCGTAGAATTCATTAGGGACTGTTCTGCCATTGCATATGCTACCGTCAATGAACCAGTCTCCGCGCTCACTTCTGTAAAATGGTGCTAAACATTTGTACACATACTTGCACCTTAAAAAATCTTAACTTTCAGTGGTTATTATTACTTTTGCTGAAATATGTCTTATCGCTGAGTAAAAAATTTTGTTTTCCTGTTGGATTATCGATGAAAATATCGGACGTCACACGTTGTTATTGTTTTGCCTAAGGTGTCAACTTTTGAAATATAAGACAAATCTACGTTGTTTTCGTGTTTTCTCTGGCTGAAATCAGCAAATATGCCTGTTTTCTTGAGAACCAATGTTTGTTTTCACTAGCTTCAAAATCAAAAATGATTTACCAGTTTTTAATACACTGCAAATTTGTTGGGTTGGAGTCATTCGTGAAGGATTCCGTAATTTTCCATAACATTTAACAAACGTCATGTTCAATACAAGACGACTTTTAGGACACGATCTAATCAAAGCATACGAAAACAGACCCACACATTGAACGAGGACCATAAACAAGACATATACTGATCACGACACCCTGAAACAGAACCACCCTACGGCACTGGACAACGTATGATAAACCTTCAACCTATAAAAATAACTACTCTATTGATACAAAGCGTAATATGTTAATTTTAGCTATCAATGCCCTTATATTAATACTAATTATAGTAACAAAATAATTATCAGTATATTAACATATGTAAACATGTGAGAATATAAGGTTTCAATAGCAGGGTGTCCATCCAACCGGGAATTCGGATTTGCCGGGAAAATGCGGGAAACCCGGAATCGCACCGGGACAGATCATCCAAGTACCAATTTTGGTTTTATCATACTCTTGTAGGCAACAATTTGGTCTTGAATAATCGTTTAAACCTTTATAAAACTTGCAATATTACATGGAAACAATCAATTTTATATCACGTACACCATTATATTCTCTTGTTTACACATCTGTTTCATCTTTCATATTATGTTTTACACTGTGGTAAAGTATCAATCAATCCTCAAAATTAGATAAACTCTATTCTGACCAGTCAGTGTTCACTCGGCTGTCGACAGAAGCAGACCACTCTCAATGTGTGTCACGCGATCGTCTGTTTATTCGGCAGCAACCATTGTGTGGTCCTCCTCATTGTTCTTCATCAGCAGTTTTTTCAGTCGATGCGTCGTCGACTTTGGAAAGCAACCGTTTCGTGATCAATGTGTGAGTGCTGACCACGTTTTGCGTCTATTGCTGCAATGGAAGCGCTCTGACACCCGTTGGCGAATCTGCCATACAATGAAACCACTGAAAGCGGCTCCCGGTCTGGTGGAGGAGGCTTATTGGATAGCGGAAGATAAAATGTTTATTGTGTTGTACCTTTTGACTATAGTTTTAAGATGTATTGTATGGTAAACAAGAATGCTAGGCTCTGTAAAGTTAATTCGGTTGAGCCTTATCAAATAAAATAATAAACAAAACAAAATATTCTGATCAGTCTTCACGGTACAACATGTGTGTAAAGTACACGAATGTTCTGAACTCACTTGTTCTCCGCTTGCTATGTTCGAATATGTGCAAGCCTATTTGAACACAAGTGTGTACTCAAGTAGAATGAACAAGTTTACACCCATGTGCTTGTGCTCATATGGGAGCCGGCTTGCATAAAGGGTAGACGAATTAGTTCCCTTACCTACTATGAGTGCTTCTTATATGCCTTTAACCTTAACATTCCAATATAAATTCCAATATACGACTTGTCGAGACTCAGGCCTGATGATCACAAGATTCATGGTTTAAGTCCCGATCCACAGCGTTTTTTTTTTTTTTTTTTTTGTTATTTTATAATTTTATATGTACCCGAGTGTATTGTATGAAAATTGTGTATTGTGTACAAAATTGCGCGTAAGTTCAAGCCGAACATTCGCTTTGATTTTTGTACACAAGCTCAACATGGTACATGTTTTCGTGAAGACACCGACAAACCGAGACTAATGACCATACAAATTACAATGAAATTTCTGATCAAAGCACAAAACTGGCATCTGCCGCCGTGTTCGCGGAAAATGTCTATTCCGGACAAATTATTTTTATCTAGATAAAAAAAATCAATGGTTTTGACAGATAGGATCGCTGCACATTTGAATCGACCGTTATGGATTCTCGATCACGAGTTAACTTTATGTTTCATGTCGGTTTATCGGTGCTTCTACATCAATGCGTTTTAAAATTTCTCCCCGACATGAATCGTCGTCTATTCCAACAAATTCAGCGCTCGCAGTTCTTCTTTAGATTTCGCGGAGATCCTTTTTACGGTGGTGGATACCTCAACTTGCGGAATGTCTCATTTCGCGGAAATTTTTCCGAAGATCCCGAAATGACGCAAGAGTGTCATTTCCCGATCCAGCTTCTTCGAGATCTTATAACTCAGGGTAAACATGTCAGAAGGGTATAACTCGAAACGTAAACAATGACTTTGAACGTCGATTTCTCTTGAATGACCACACACCCACGGAATCTGACTACACCAGCTCATAGAACAAACATTTCTCTGTCAGATGATTTAGTTAGTTTGAGTGGGTGTGTTTCCTCCCTTAGCTCAGTCGGTAAAGGTGCAGCTACAAAGCAAGACCATGCTGGAGGTGGCTGGGTTCAATTCCCGGTCAGGTCTAGGAATTTTTCGGGTTGGAAAATTTCTCGACTTCCCTGGGCATAGAAGTATGATTGGACTTGCCACACAATTATACCAATGCAAAAATGGTACAGGCATCGAAAGCTCTCAATTAATAACTGTTGAAGTGCATCTAGAACATAAGTTGAGAGCACGCAATAAACTAATATGTGATATGCAATAAGCTTGAAATGCGAAGAAGAAGAAAAAGAAGGGTGTGTTGTCATTCGTAAGCAACCGACGATCCAAGTCATTGTTTACGTTTCGAGTTAGACCCTTCTGACATGTTTCGCCTGAACTGTTTGACAGCAGCATGTAGATCCTTATTCGCTGTGTACTCTTAGATGTGGAGATTGTACTTACTTTTCTTACCAGGCTGTAAATTCCCACAGACACACCGTCCGAGTCTGTTCTTCACCGCAACTGATCCGATTCCGTTACCTTCCCTCTATTTCAGTGGAACGGCTGTGGGCAGGTTGTCAAACCCTATCAGTAACAGATACGCCACTATCGTAGCTTTGTATCGGTAGCTGCTTGTCGAATTGTTTGAATTGTTAGGGTAAATTTGAAATCCCAGACAAAGAAATTGTTTACACAATGGATTTCAAATTGCACTAAAATATTGTATGATTAATTCAACGATTAATAGGGGTATTCACTACGCTTAAACATATACACTGTCTTAAAAATACCAGGGTCTATTGAAGTGCAAGTTGTGCCACCTGGCGGAAGATTGAGGAGCGTAGAGAAGCAAAAACCGCGTTAGAGCGGGCGAGAACCAGAGGAGCCAAGAATGAAGCCCGTCAACGGTATTCGGCTCTAGAGAAGGAAGTCAAATGTTCTTGCAGGCGAGACAAGCGAGCGTGGGTAGACTCCCTGGCTGACGAAGGGAAGAAAGCCGCAACAACTGGCGATATGCGCCTCATCTACTATATCTCATGACTCCTGAGTAGAGCAAGAATGAATCCGAAGATGCCAGTGAAAGACGCGACTGGACAGTTACTTACCGACCCCACTGACCAGTTGAAACGTTGGTTTGAGCACTTCGAACAACTTCTTCAAGTTTCGACGTCCAACCAACAACATCTTGGCATGATCCGCTTACGATACGGCGCATCATTAGCGTCAACTCCGAGGCCCCATCACTGCAGGAGATAGAAGCAGCTATCCGAAGTATGAAATCGAACAAGCCTCCCGGGGTCGATCACATATCAGCAGAGATGCTCAAAGTTGACCCTATGATATCCGCACAAATGTTGCATCAACAACACCGAGACTTTTCCGGCCGACTGGATGCAGGGCGTCTTAGTGAAGGTCCCTTAGACGGGGGATCAGATTGTGTACGACAACTGAGGCATCATGTTACTGTGTGTTGTTCTCAAAGTTCTGTGCAAAGTTATCCTGAATCGGATACAGGAGAAGATCGACGCGACTCTCCGGCGGTAGCAGGCAGGATTCCGTGTTGGAATATCTTGTTGTTACGCTCCGCATTATCCTGGAGTAGGTCAACAAATTCCAAGAATCCCTCGATTTGGTATTCATTGACTACAAAAAAGCTTTCGACCGACTCAATCACGGAAATCTATGGGACACCCTGAGGAGCAAAGGAGTTCCGGATAAAATCATCAACCTCATCAAAGCGCAGTACCAGGATTTAACATGCGGAATCCTGTATATCGAAGCATTGTCGGATCCTATCCGGGTAGTCGCAGGTGTGAGGCAAGGATGTATACTAACTATCACCGCTACTGTTTCTCATCGTAATTTACGAGGTCATGAGTGATACAATTGACCGTGCACCGAACCGTGGACTGCTTTGGCAGCCTATCACTATGGATTAGCTCAACGACTTCGATTTGCAAAGATATCAAGCTGAACATTGCATTAGGTCCTAAGTAACACTGATCGATTCTCTTCGTCAACTTTCTCTTTCGTTAATAACTTGAGCACATAACCGTTTCTAGTTGAGTTTGTCGTATAAGATGCTAGATTAAAGAGAATCTGTCAATGTTACTTAAGACCTAATGCAATGTTCAGCTTGATATGTAAAGTTCAACGACATAGCCGAGCGCTCGTAGTGGGTCCCACATCAACGTCAACAAGTCCAAATCGTTGGATGTCAACACGGACAACCCTTCCAACTTTACGGTAGCGGGCAGTGGAGAAAGACGAATGCCAGATAGCGTCAAACGGCGGGACCAAGAGCGACAAAGGTACACGAATCAAGATGGCTAGGGCTGCTTTTGCGAGTTTATGAAATGTATGGAGAGAAGTCAACGCACCGACATACGAATTTTCAATTCAAACGTGAAATCTATGGTGCCAGCGAGATGTGCACACTTAATCTAGCTCGGTAAAATCTCCAACAGCCGATTACCTCGGCATTTATTTTTGCTGATATCTCTGCAAAATATATGTTTGTTAGCTGATATCTCAGCAAAATGTTATTTGTTAGCTGAGTCTCGGCAAATGCTTTACTGAGTCTCAGCAGAATAAACTGCAGAACTACTCGGCTGTTGGAATCTCGGCGAAAAAATGTAAGTGTGTGCTGTGTATCAACGGACACACTCAAAAGCTTCATCAACCGATGCCTGAGGTGTATAATTCGTGCCTGTTGGCCTCACAACCGGATCTCGAATGCTGAGCTCCATTGTCGATGTCATCAGGAACCTATATTAACAGAAATTCGAGAACGTAAATGGAGGTGGGTCGACCACACACTACGAAGGGACGGAAACGACATCTGCAAGCTAGCGTTGGATTGGAACCCGGCAGGACATCGCAGCAGAGGCAGACCCAGGGGTTCATGGCGGCGAAGGGAAGTTGAAAGGAATCTGACCTGGGTACAGATCAAGGCAAAAGCGAGCAGCCGCCCAGGATGCAAATCTTTCACGTTGGCCATATCCACCGCTAGGGGTATGCAAGACATATAAACAAAACAAAAACATTGAAGTGTAATGGGGTGTAATATAAATCCTAACATTCCAGCGTAACGGGCATTTAGTCCTTTGTAACACAAGTAGTTTGTAAATAGTCTGATTTGGAACTCAGTATTTGTAGCACTGTAGAAATCTTTTAAAATTTCTGAAATATTTAAATATCTTCTAAACATATTAGATTCTGTTTTCTCGTCAAAACTTTCAAATACTAGACCTCATAAATTTTCCAAAGTTCTCCAAAGTACTGTTCATGTTTAGAAAATGGAACAATCTTCTAAAAATATTAGATTCTGTTTTCTAATCAAACTTTGAAAATCGTTGAACTCAAAAATGTTCCCCTAAGTACATTTTTGAATCAAAAATTCTTATTCGCAGTTCGGTAAACCCTAAAGAAATGTTCATGTTTTAAAGAAGGATAAATCTACTACTACATGATCGAAAGAAATAAAATTATTATAATCGGGTTAGTTGGATTTGGGTAAGTGTTACATTCGGGCTAGTTCTATAAAACCCAAAGAAAACATAGTCGAAAAAGAATGGAGATCACTTAGCTAATGGATCCTACAATGTTCTGAGAACTGAATATTTGCATGCTTCTGTTCTAGTATTTTAGAAAATCTGTTATTGCATGAAACTCTTTTAAAGAAGCAAATATTTATTGGAATAGATTTACTTGCATTTAAGTTCCATTTCACACATTTGTATCTCAACATTCTCATAATCCTTTTCGATTACCATAAGTGGAAATAGGACTTAATGACCCCTTTTTTCTCTCCTCGTCATCACCAAACTCCACCCTGTACATAAAAAAATACCTACACGTGTGACGGAATGCACCGGTATACCTAATGAATCGGGGGAAAAACCTGCACGATTGTACCATTAACCGATCCATCACCAAAATACGTACTATAAACACCTCCTGGACACGGTTCCCCAAAAATGGACCCAACGATATTCATCACTATTGCACATGTATAATAAAACCATCGCACCAAACCCATGTTCATCGGTATTCATCATCGGACGAAACAATGAACTGAACACCCTTCGTCGCCAATAACAAAACAAACAAAACAATAGAATCAGTTTTTTCACAACCTCAACCTCAACTCTGATCTCGTCGTTTAGTTTCACCGAAACCGAAGAGGTCCTCCAGATCGGTATGCACAAAGTGCTCGAGTACATCAAAAACCACGACGATGCGTGGCCGTTCATGGATCCTGTGGACGAGGATATCGCCCCGCGATACTATTCGATCATCAGACGGTAAGACGATTGCTATCTTTCATCGTTTTAGGCAATTGAATTAATCGTATCTTTGCAGGCCCATGGACTTGCAGAAAATGGAGGAAAAGCTTGACAATGGCGAGTACCTAACGTTCGGCGACTTCCGAAACGATTTCAAGCTGATTGTCAACAACTGCCGGTTGTATAACGGCCAAGCTAACGGTAAGTAACTGCTGCTTTGCGGCTCAGCATTTGTCGTCTTCTTACATCGTGTTTTTATTCTGTTCTGTAGAATACACCGAAATGGTTAATAATCTTCAGCTGGCTTTCGAGAAGGCGACAAAGAAGTACTTTGATTCGAATTCCTCCGACGAAGAGCAAACGCTGGAATATCCAATCTTCAAGGAGAAACCTTTCGGCAGCAGCGGAGGCAAAAACATCAACGAGTCGACGGGAGGCAGTACCAGTGCGAACAACAGTAAATCTTCCAGCGAAAACAAAAGTGACAATAGTAAGAAGAGTAGTGCTGTTAAGAACAACAACAGTGATAAAGATGCTAAAAGTGATAAAGATGTTAAAAGTGATAAGAAGGAAGGCAAGGTGAAGAATTCCAACAAAAAGGGAAGCACTGAGATCGGTGAAAGCAGTAGCGTGGGGAAGAAGCAGAACAGCGAAACAGGTGGTAATGCAAAGAAGGGCAAAGCTAGTGGCGAAGTAGAGACAAAAGGTGGAAAGAATGACAATGCCAAGGGATTGAAACGAAAACGAAAGGAGAAAGATAAAGTAGGCAAAGGGAAGAGCAAGAAATTCAAACCAAACGAAAGTGATGAAGATGGAGAAAGTGAAGAAGGAGAAGATGAGAACGGTGAAGAAGACGTGAAAGATTTGAAAGAGCATACGGACACTGAGGAGGAAATTCGTCGGTCTCCGACGCCTGTGCCACCGGAGATTAAAAATAAAGTGAATTCCAAAGTGAAGAAGAAAGAGGAAAAGGTCAAAGAGAAGACGAAAAATGCCAAGGGTAAGAAAGAAGACAGAAAGCTAGCAAAAAGTGAAGTTGGTAAGAAAAGTCGTAAGAAATCTCCTTCGCGATCCCGATCGGTGTCTAGATCGCGATCGGCGTCACCTGTGCCAAGATCTCCTAGTCCACCGAAGAATGTGAAGGGTAAAAAGGAAGACAAGAAGCTGGCAAAGAACGAGGTAGGTAAGAAAGGTCGCAAGAAATCTCCACCGCGATCGCGATCCAGATCGGTTTCCAGATCGCGATCAGCATCACCAATGTCCAAATCTCCTAGTCCGCCTCCAGCTTCATCGTCGAAAAAAGCTGAGAAACGGAAGGAAACTACAAAGCAGAAACACGGCAAAAAGGAGCGGAAGGAAGATCGTCCAGCAGATCGAGAGATGAGAAATGCTGAAAAAAAGATTCTCAAGCAAGCTGATACTTCCATGAATTCTGGAACACCTTCTCCGCTTAAAGGTAGGGGGCGGAAAAAGGCGCAGGAAAAGAAAGCCGAAAACCAAAGCGACGCAGAAGAACACGTGGATCCTCCGATCGAGGAGGACGAAGATAAAGAAACGGACCTTAGCAACTTTGCCGACATCGACGAAATTCGAGTTCGGAACGATAGCAGAGGATATGCTTCCGAAGAAAGTGTCGAAGATCTTCCCGCTAGCGATGACGGTAAAAAGAGCAAAAAGAACAAAAAAGGTGGTCAGAAAACAGGTAAAACAAAGGGAAAGAACAAAAGCGAAGAAAAATGCAAAAAGAATAAATCCAAGGGAAAGAGTGGAAAGAGCAAAAAATCCAAAAGTAATAAGAGCTTCGACACTTCCTCACTGATTTCTTCAAGTAATGAGGAAGAAGCCATTGAAGAAGCTCCGACAGAACAGAAGAGTAAGAGTAAACCTGCGGAGAAAGAAATCAAAAGTGCCTCAAAGAAACAACCGAAGGATTTCTCCAAATATACAACGCTTCCCAGGGATAGAAGTTCGTCTCGAAGCTTCTCTCGATCTCCAAGCCCGCTGCCTTCAATAAGGGATAGGTATTCTTCAATGTCGGATCATTCTATGGACTTTGACGATGATGATGATTTGAACGGCGGAAGGAAATCTGCCCCTGCAAGACCGATAACACCGGACATCAGAGATAAGTATGACCTCATCAAGGAACGACGGCGTAATCAGCAAAAGGCATCATCACAGACCGGAGCACCGGTAACCACACCGACCAATGAAAAACCGACAAAGCAGAAACATAAACCTCAGGAAACCAGTCGAAAGAAGCAGAAGCCTAATCAAACTCAGACTACCAGTTCAAGTGCCTCACCAAACCCCAGCAAGCAGCAGAAGGTTACAGAGGAAAGTGACAATTCTACAAAAACCAAAGAAACAGGGAAGAGCAAAAGGAAACGAGATCGGTCCAGTGAATGCAACCGGGACTCACCGGTTCCAGAGGAGATCAAAGATTGGACCCCACCGGAACCACTTCCCACCGTGGAGAAACCACGGCCTTCCTACAAAGATGAAAAGACGGAAAAACGGGAATCCGAAAGGAAGGTCGATCCAAGTGACGAGTACGACTTTGTAGACGATTCTCCTCCGGAAATTCCAACACCAAAGGCTCCTACACCAATTCCATCGCCAGTGGAGAAGCTTCCCAAACCTCCGAAAGTCAAAACAGAGTCCAGCAAAAAGCAAATGCAAAAATCAATGAAAAGCTCTCAACAACATGCTTCCTTAAAACCGATTACTGCTCCAGCAAACAGGCAGCCTAAAACTACCGGTGCCAATATGGAAGCTTTGGAACTGGAAACCGAGCAAACGCTCAAGGACATCAACAAGTGGCTGGAAAACACACCGCGATTCTCGGAGTACAGCTCCGCCAGCAATTCGCCTTCCCGGTACATCATGGACGATCTGGACGCTGTGACGGCCAAGATAGACGTTGCGGACTTCCGAAAACCCATTCCACTTTCTCAGCTCCCCGAAGAAGAAACGGAAAGTCCTATTATTCCGATCGCTCAAGCGGTAGTAGTTCCACCATCTCTGACAACACTGCCGACTCCGATCCCTTCGTTACCGACTTCCCCGAAAGCAATGATTCCACCTGCACTTCCAACACCCAAAGAACCATCCAAGCCGAAGCAACCCAAGGAACAACCACAAGACATCAATCCTCTCAAAGAATCAGTCAACAATGTCAATATTTCTGCATCACATCCCGTCGTGGCGAAGCCGCATCCTCCGCAACCTCCCGTTGCCAGTGTTCCTCCTGCCCCAAACTCAGCAGCAATACCTCCCGAACGTCCACATCTCGGTCCGCCGCAGATCATACCGCCGCACTCGCAGAAAAAAGAGCCCAAGGAACCCAAGCGGAAGACTCTGAAGGAAAAGCTCAGTCAGTTGGGCTCGCGGAAGCGGGACACGGTCCACCGTCTTGACCGATTGCAGCCAGGAAAGTCGAAAGGAAATCTGCTTGGGTCAATGCAAAATATCAACAAGCCGGAAGAACTATTCCCTCTGGGTGGTGGACCGAACAAGCTGAAAGAAGTCAAGAATTCCCTGATTGTCAAAACGGACGAATCGAAACCGAAACTAAGTTTAGGCACGGTACTAAATACCGAGGGATTCGGCTTGGGGCAGCAGCATAATTTTGCAGACGAAAAAAAAGAGAACGTGGGAGATGTCGCAGAGGATAAGGTGGTCAAGGAAAAAAGTGATTCGGACCAATCGCTGAATAGCTCCAAGGATGACAGTGGAAATGCAGCTAAACTGTTAATTCAGGAAGACATCAAAGCGGCCAAGGCAGAGTTGGCCAAGACAGATCCGGGTAAAGTGGTTATATCGCCGGAAAAAGCCACCAAAGCGGTTAACAAGTCGGATAAGCCGTCGGCAACACCAAATTTAAGTGCTTGGTTCAAGGCGTTTGGAGCACCGAAAAAACCAAAGAAACCGGAAGACGGCGAGGAAGGTGCAAGTAAGAATTCGCCACCTGAGAGTGGTAAGGGTGGTGAGAATACGTCGCCATCGGACTCGGGACTCAACGTACCACTCGTACCGAGTCTGGAGAGTCCAAGTTATCCTTCGCTGCCAGCACCCAGGCAGAGGAAGGCCAGTACGGGAAGTACAGTTTCGGAGAGATCTTCGTTTAGTCAGGATCCGGATAGTCCGCGAATTGGTATAGACGAACGGATTGGTGTATACCCGGCACCGTATCCGAGTCCGATAGGAGCATCACCGATTATGACTTCTCCCAAACTGGATGACACGCAGAAAAGTCCATACCCGCTGAATGGGGCCATCAAAGTTGGATTCTATCAGGACACAACCACGAAGAGTAGTCCAGAGAAAAGCTGTAGTCCAAGAGATTTACCTTCACCGTATCCACAATACTCTCAACATTTGTACAGCTCCAACTCGGGCATGACTGCTAACAATCTCTACGGGAATTACGCTTATAGTGGAAATACCAATGCCACTAGTACCGCTAACGCAACTCCAGAGAACTTCAAAAGCTTCGATCAGTACAAACAACCCGCTTCCCAGGAATCAGATTACAATTCATCGATGAGTCCCAGTACAAATCCAAACTCACCTTACCACAACCAGCAATCATCGCCTTACCAACAACAACCCAACTCACCCTATCAACAGCAACAGCCAAATCAGAATTTCAACCAACAACAGCAGCCAATCGCATCACCGGCTTCATCCGGGCCGCTGTCTCCCTACAGTACCAACTCAATAGCACCTCCACCGTCAGTACAACAAAGTCCGGCTCAATCCGTTAGTGGTCATTCGCCGTTCAATCCATCGCCGACGTCGCCTTATCAAACACCTCAACACCAACCGCAGAGTCAGCCACCACAAGTGCAGAAACCCAATCAGCAGTCGCAGCAGCAGCAACCTCAACCACAACCGCAACAACATCCATCGAAACCAAATACTCCCATTCACCAAAGCCCGAATTCGCCGTTCTCTCAGTCGAACCACAGTTCACCGTATTCTCAACAGGATCCAAACTCTCCCTACTCCCAGGGCCAGTTATCCCCCTTCCAACCGATGTCACCGAAACCTTCCCAGTCAAGTCTTCCTGTCGTTCCGCAAGGAACTACCAACAACAGCTTAAAGTTAGCACCACCTATCATAACTCCCCAACAAGCAGCAGCCGCTGCTGGAGTCACACTGCCCGATTCACCCGTCAATAACCTTTCCCAGCAGTCACAGCAAACCTCCCCACAACAACAACCACCACAAGTTCAAAATACCGGATCTCAGCTGCCCATTCCGCAGCCCCAGCCGCAGCTTCCACCGCAATTGAATACTCAAACACCGTGGAACCAACAGCCGCCAACCTACAACCAGTACGGAACTCCGACAGATAACTCTATTGGAATGGGTACAAATCTCCCTGCTCCAGCTCACATGCATCATCACCAGCAGCAGGCGCAATCTCAGCCACAGCAGCAACAAAAACCCCAACCGGCACATCACAACGTTCAGCACATGCAACCGCAGCTACTCTCTCAGCAGCAACAGCAGCAGCCGTCGCAACTACAACAACAACAACCACCACCATCCTGTCAGCAGCAAAGCCAACAGCAACATCCAACTCCCAACCTGAGCAATCTCACTCCCGCTCATAGTCAGTCCAGTATACAGCAGCAGCAGCAGCAGCAGCAACAACAACAACAGCCGCAGCAGCAACATAGTCATCTGAGCAATCTACTCACAAACAACCCCTATGCATCCAACTACGGACGGCAGGCGTATGATCCTACAGGACAGAGTAGCCATGTGGGTCAAGATGTGAGCAAGAGCGCAGCACCGAAAGTACCTGAGCTGATCAATTTGGGTTACAACAGTGGCAGTAACGAAAGCAGTGCAAGCAGTAATAAGCCACAGTCGCAGCCGCACCAGCAAGAAATTCCCATGAATATGGGAAACAAGCAACCTGCTGCGGACACGACCAAGGAGAAAGAGCTTACTAAGCAGCAGCAAATGTTCGAGCTTATGGGAGCAATTGGCTACACGAATCCGATGGATATCTCAATCAGTAAGACTAAGGCGTTTGATATGTTTAATCGGGCGGCTACGATAACCTTCCCTCGGGGATTCCCCGGAGCGGGTAATAGTGGTACTTCGAGTGGAAGTCTAACGCAACAACAGGAGGTTTCAAAAATGGGATACGGTGGAAACACGACAGGGTATGATCAGATGCAAGCGAATACCAACAAGGCTCATGACATGAGCGGTGCTACCGCCTACAACATGCAGCAACCACATCAACAGCAACCGAAAACCAATCAGAGTGATTTGATTGCTGGTGGTAACATTCGAGGGAACGTCGCAGCCGGATCATATGATCAGAGAACGGCCGCCAATGTCCAACAGCAACAACAACAGCTTACGCAGCAGCAGCAGCAGGCAAATATGGATCTCAGTGCTGGATACAAGTCATTCAGTGGGGCGTCGTCTTCATCATTGATGGATCCGGCGCTTCGGAATTTGGCGTCCCTTTCGTCGTTGTATCAATCGGACGCAACTTCAGGATTCTACGATAAGAACATACCGCCTGCGGCGCACATGTTTGGAAAGAATCTGTCGAATCATCCCGTGGGAGCATCATCGGTGGCATCTTCCACCACATCCACGCTGCAGCAGATGTTCAACTCATCCATGGCCACCACAATGGCATACAATGCCGCTGCACGGGATCAACAAACCGCCTATGGAGCAAATTATCATCAAAGGTCCGATCTACTTAATCAAGGACAGAAAGTACCACTGAATATTCCAACAGTAGCAAACCCCACGGCTGCGACTGCTGTTGTTCCTGAACCGACCAAACCCAAACGAAGTCGCAAAAAGAAGGATGCAACACAAGACATGATGCAGCAACAATTGCAACATCAACAACAGGCACATCAGCACCAACAGACACAGCCCAATGCGGCCCATCAAGGTTTCCAGGCGTATCCAGGTCATAAAACCAGCCAGTCATCCTCTTCATTAAGCAGTCAACCGATTTCGGCTTCCAATGCCCCCGGTAATGTTGGATCGAACAGCAGTGCTAATGCCGAACCATCGGCCATTTCGCTGAAAACAGCCAACGTTGTCCCCGGTAGTGCCTTCAACTTCGGCACAGGACCAGCTGGTCTAGGTTTGCCGTCCAGCTTGTATGGTGAAAATTCACCCTACCTGGACGAGTTCCGCAATAACCCGAACCCCTATCCTTACCTTGCATCTAGTCACAGAGGATCTACCGCGCCCGGAGCAGTAGCATCAGCAGATGGGTCTGATAAATCACTCAATCCATCGGCTTCAACTGCCTCAGCCGTGGCCGCAGTTGCCGCAGCCGCCGCTGCTGTCCATCAACCTCCACCAGCAGCCTCCCCGTACCATCAGTTCCTCTCGCATCCCTCCTCTAGAGCACCATATCAGTTCATGAACCAACTAGATCCACTGCATCAGCAGTACATACGTCAGGAAGAGCTCCGTGCCCAAATGATGCTGAATCAAAGCCTGGGTCTGGGGGCACCCGGAGCTCATGGACCACCTCCGGGAGCTTACGGTCAACCGGGAGCGTACCATCATGCACTCGGTATGCATAAACCCTACGATGCCATGAACTCGATGAATCGACCACCGTGGCTATAACAGCAGCAGGACGTCGCTGGCCATCAGACGGGTCCGAACCGATCGAAGGCTGGTGACATGACGGGAATGGTCGAACGACAGTCTGCCATTGTTAGCTGCGGTACCTCCGGCGGTGGTGGCAGCGGCAATCCCAGCGCTGGAAGCGTCAGCTCGTCTTCGTCGGTTGCGGCAAGAAACGAAGCGGTGGCCTGGGACGCGCGAAGAAACCACGGCCACAATTTCTAGTAGTAAGGAAGAATGGTTCGGGTTTGGTTCTTCCGTTGCGAAACCTTAAAGTGAACGTGTGCGTGAATGATCATCGGTATGTGTATGTTGTTGTTGTTTTGTTAACAACAGTGATTTTAATTTTTAGAGAGGTTTTTTTTTATTGAGAGTAGATTTATTTCTGAAACAGCCAAGTAAATTGTATTTAGTAGACGGCCAGCTGAAGTAAGTTTTAAGACTTTTGCAGACTGCTCTGAAACAGGTCAAGAACCGAAGTCGACAGCAGCGGCGACTGGCAGAAGATGTACTAGATTAGAGTAATTCGTAGTACCTATAAATAGTGATGTGTTTTGTATAGTTTTAGTATGTTTTTTTACGATTAAACTGAAAAGTAACTTTTCTTTGTCTGTAATGAAATGAATTTGTGCAGTTACATCAGCCATATTTTTAGCGAAAACAGTAAATTGTGTGTGCAATATTAGGAGCGTGTTCGAAGCCGGTGCCGTAGGCCTATCTCGTTGGAGCAGCTCTTGAGTATTTTGGAAATTAATTCTGTACCTAATTGATCAATCGAGCAGTAAATGTGTACTGCCTATAATCGCATATCAGTCTCATAAGGATTCTCGTTAATTTTTAGAATCCAAACACATAAAGCAACCAACGATACAGACAAGACCCTTGCTACGACTACCACGACAAACTCTCACTGCAACACAGTTCGATCGGAGTGGTAGAAGGATAATGATATATTGCTTGCCTGCTTTGTTGCAATATACATGGATGAGTACATAGGTTGATCTGAATCGGTCAAAGACATAACAAAAAATTCCCATTAACACACGTGTATCATCTTCGGCTTTGCTTCGTGAAGCAGCTTGCCAACAATTTGCTCGTTTCCTTCTACCGCCCTGAGTGAGCTGTGTCGCACGGGCTGCTTGTCATGAAAAAGAACGAAGAAGATTATATCATTATTGCTTTCCTCTTCTGACATAGCGATATCATTCGGTTCGTTGATCGCTTGTCATTTTGTCATTTGGAGAGATTTTTGATTCCTTGAAAACTATGGATTTTGGTCTTGAAAAATGTGTAAACAACATCAAGTCAGTTTGTCCCATCAAACAAAGTAATCGCATATCAAGTCCCACCCTGAAATTCAATCGTCCAGAGGTCAAGTTACAGTTCTGCTTTTTGAATTGCCATATTTTTCGCCGATATAACAAAACATACAAGCATCATTGCAACTGATTTTAACTTGAAAATAATATCAGTAGATTTACTATGATTTTTCAAATATTTACATGAGAATTGCACTTCGTAACTTCGACTGCCATTTTCTCAATGCCTACTTTTTCATATGGGACAAATATGCGATTATAGGCAGTACATGTCAGTTTAAAAAAATAGCCTAAACGAATCACTATACCAATAATAGCAGCTCCATAAACAGGGGTGAATTTGACCACTGATGATGCCTATGGCATCAATTGGCCAGTAAACCAATTTAAAATCGCTTTAAGTTTTGAACAGGAACATACCTATCTGCATTAGTGTTTCTAGAAGAAAATTGTTTTACGATAACTCAATCTTACTATTTTTTATAATAAATTATTAATAGTAATTTATCAAATATAGCAACTAGCAGTCAGGTTTTTTTCCCTTTATTTGTTTTCCGTCGATCTTTTTTTCCATACTGAGTACCAATGCTACCGACGCCAGGGAGGCAGCTCCCACACCTGGACCCTTCCTATCGACCCATCAACTCATGAACCGGGGACCAAAGGCTTTACTTCCCTTCCGAAGGAAGGCGTGATCAGAGTTGTTATGCCTCAGAACATCCCGGCAGTGCCGACTGGGATTGAACCCAGGCTTGCTGGGGTGAGAGGTAATCATGCTTACCACTGCACCACCGGCGCCGATTAGCAGCCAGGTTCAGTAAACTGTTTTATTCAGTTTTATGTGATATTTTTTGAAAATTTTGTATTTTGATTGGACATTGTCTGACAAATTCCATTGTGCTGAATAAGCAGGGGATAACCAAAGATGAATACTAAGATGAAACTGTCGGAAGAAAAACTTTCTATTTTAGTGTCCTCTTTCACGGTCCCTTTCATCCAATGAATACCCCCCGTATTCAAGGTAATTTTGTGGTTTTGCTGCCCCCTCGGCAGAGATGAAATTTTGCGCTCATTTTTATCAAAACAAACACATCAAAATCAGAGGTGTCCCATTTTTTAATTAATCGATTAACAACTAATCGTTTTTATTTTGGTTCGCTATGCTGCCATATTTCCACCAATGAGAGTGCAGCACATGTTTGAAACGTTCGGTGATGATCGTCTGGAGAAGTTATTGCTTAAATCGGCATGATATAACCGATTACAAATATTTTACTTTTCGGTTCGTTAACCGATTAATCGATAATTCGAATGAAAATCGGCCACCACTAGTTGAATGTGAAACGTCATTTCAAATATATGGACCGTAAATAAATAATGATACAATTTGAAAGGGACCGGGGCTCATCACAAATTACGTCCACACGGTAACTGAAATTAACACGAGTGTTCACCGGTTGGGATAACTGCTTTTGAGGAAAAAAGTAGAAGGGTCTGTGCCTAGGGGCACGAACGGAAGCTTGACGTAGGACCGCTAGTGGACGGAGCAAATATGTTGAGCCTTTAGTTCTTTTAGTTGATCTATTATCTTAACTCCTTCTGTATTTGGATTGGTGGCTCTGAAAAGGGCCGTTTGTTTGTTGGTTGTTGGCTCTGAAAAGGGCCTTTTGTGTTTTCAAATGGTGGCCCTGAAAAGGACCGTTTGATGGTTTTTCCTGGTGTCCATCGAAAGGGTTGTTGGGAGTTGGAGGGTACGGAACGAATAAGTACTAATCACTGTTGCCTTTTGGCGCTCCTTTTATTTTGGCGATATTTGTTGATATTGCTGTTGTATTTTGGATGGACAACTATCACGAAATGACCCAAAGCTGATAGTGAATTTCCGAACACTGCTAATGGCACTGATTGATGATTCTTTGCTCTTATTTCTCTCCATGGTTTGTGAACCTGTTTTACCCACCATCTAGAGATCTTAAAAGAAATTCTATAGCGTAGAAACAGAGTGGCCCTGAAAAAGGCCATTTGGGATCCAAGAGATTTACATGCTGGTGCTTTCGGGATGGCGTGCTTACACCATTGCACAGCGGTTGAAATTTTGCAGGTGATCAATGTTATAGTCAGCCTAACGAAGCGACTGCAGTGGAACGACTGAAAGATGGTGAAGCTACTCAGAGAGCCTCCAATGTCCGCGTCCTTCAGGGTCCTACCAAATTTGTGGTAACCATCTCCGTCGCTAATGAAATTGCCATTTTGGTTGGAAGCGAACAAACTGGTGTACTTGGGTATCTCTAGAGACAGCGTGCTCAGATGGCTTTCCTGGTAGCAGCATTACGCAGGTGAGCATTGTAGTCAAACTCAGCTGTGTAACGTTCGAAGAATGTCGTTGCCGTTGGTAATGCTTCTCATTCCGATGTCCGCGTCCACTTTCTCGGTCTTTCAAATTAGTTGTGACGACAGTCCCCACAGCTAATGGAATTGCAACTGCTCACGTTCACTGAATTACAGTCTGTATAAAACTTGCAGAATAACTAATTAGGCCTCTCCCTTTTGAAGTATTTTCCGTCAGAGCCTTCCTAGTTGCAAGTATATGGATTGTTCTGAAAGAACAACTAGCGCTACTTGACTTTTCACACCAGTGCAAGTCGATGCCGACCGGATGACGGCGGCCTAGTCATGCTGCCTATTGCGGGAAGCCTTTCCTCCGGTCGATGTGGGTGCATTCGTCGTCGTCTTCGTATTGGTGCGATGCGTGCTGTTCCACTCATACGTCGTGTCCGACGCTTATCCGTCCGTTGCTCGAAAGTTAATGACGAAGAAAACGATTTGGCAAGCGTTTTTATTGCCGCTGCCTGTCTCCTCCCTTCCATTCATTGGTGAAATAGCGAGCTGTCAACCGAGCGGTTAGTGTCATGTGTTCGATTTGCGCTCTATCGTTTTTTTCAGTGTTGGGTATATTCATCACTGCGACCATTACTTTGATCTATTGTGATATTCCCCGTTTTTATATTGCTTTATCAGTTATGTCGTATCACTATTTTGTGAAGCGACCGAAATAGACTGACCAATAGCATTTTCCCAGCCAGGTATTACATTTCGAATGAAATGTACTACTTGACTGGGACCTGCATTCCAAATGTCAAAGGGTTCTACCAGCCCCTTATCGAAGACAACAAATCAAGAAGACTGGCAACTTTGCCAGAATCCAAGTGACAGATGCAGTAGCGCTGCACTTGAGTGAAGGTGGAAGCAATAGCATAGAAAAATGAGCAAATACACAAACCCTTCTTCTGAGGATGCAATCTTTGCTATCAAATTCGTTCGAAGCATTTACCTATGAGCGGCAGATGACGCGATTGTACCTGGCTCATAGCGTTTGTTAGAGAAAATGGAAGAGTTGCCAGTCTTCTTGATTTGTTGTCTTCGCCCTTATCCAGGAAAATACGCCTTTTATTGAAGATTGCTACACAAGAGCATAGCAGGTGTTCAGAGTCTTCCTTTTCTATGCCACAGAATTGACACATATCCTCTTGAAGTTTTCCTATTAACTTCAAATGATAGTTACATGGACAATGCCCTGTTATCAAACCAGTATAGACACTAAGATCTTTCTTTGATAATTCAAGAATTTTGTTAGTCATTGAAATGTTCGGAATTATGAACCGTTTCGACTGCCTAGCAATGGAAGTGTTGTTCCAATTGGTCTCCAGTTTCATTTTTTTCCATTTCTTGAACTCCATTTTAAGAGAACAAGTAGAAACTCCACAGAATGGTTCTGGTCCTATGAATTGCTGTGATGATCCTAGCCTGGCTAACGTATCGGCTATATCATTCCCTTCAATTCCACAGTGGCCAGGAACCCAATATAGGTTTACTTGCTTTTGACAGGTCAATTTCTGAAGTGCCATTGCACATTCCCATACGAGTTTTGAATTGCATGTTGCTGATTTTAAAGCATTTAATGCTGCTTGACTATCAAAAATAATGCATATATTCGAATGTTTATAATTTCTGCGCAAGCATATTACAGAGCATTCAAGAATTGCTTGCATTTATGCTTGGAACACGGTTGGTCAGTAATCCATAGATATTGAGATATCTATCCCTGGACCAGCTACCCCTGCTCCCACACGATTGTTCAATCTTGAACTGTCTGTATAAAAACAATTGAACCTGGTCTGATGTTTGGTCCCCCACTTTCCCAAACATTACGATCAAACTCTGCTGCATTGTATAAACGATCGAAATTATATTTTTTTTCTCCATCCAGTCTTCATTTTTTAATAGGAGAGAACCAATATCAAACATTTTTAAAATACTAAGGTGTCCTGTAAGATCACCTTCAAGGAAGTACCAACAATCAATACGAAACGATTTTAAATTGGCTCACTACTTGACTATCCTATTGGTCCCAAGCAAACGATTAACGTACCCCATTCTAGTCGAAATTCTAGTACTACGCAATGTTTGGGGTTATTGGTTTTTCCTATGTTTCGAGGGGTGAATCGATTAGCTTGGGACCGAAGAGAGTACCAGAGCTGAGCCAAAAAGCTGAGCACGTTATTTCGGGACCTTCTAGTCTTAGCAGGCATGGAAAATCATTTGCATTCATTTCGTGCATTCATTTACATTCATTTACATTTATTTGCCCCTAACTTTTTTTCATCAACAGAATTTTGCAAAATAATGTATGG